AGTGAGAGTGAGAGTGAGAGTGAGAGTGAGAGTGAGAGTGAGAGTGAAAGTGAGAGTGAGAGTGAGAGTGAGAGTGGGAGTGAGTGAGCGGTATGAGGTGCAGATTTAGTGACAGGCGCAGCACTTTGTGAACCTCGATGTGCAGATTTCGTGGCAGGCACAGCAGTTTGTGAACCTCGAAGTGTAGATTTCGTGGCAGGTGCAGCACTTTGTGAACCCTGAAGTGCAGATTTCGTGACAGGCGCAGCACTTTGTGAACCTCGAAGTGCAGATTTCGCATTTTGTGCTCTCAGATGCTCACTCTTTTACTCTCTCACTTTCACTGTCACTCACACTCACACATGCTCACACGCGCTCGCTCTCACTCACAGTCCTACTCGCACTCACCTAGGATCTGCTTTGGAGTGGTTCTGTGTTCTCTAGCTCCTCCCCTCACAGCCCCACCAACTTTTTCACCCTACAGCGCCGTGCTCAGCCACGGCCGGCAGTCTTGCCGGTCAGCCGCCGGCGCTTGAAAAGGCCGCTCGCAGCAGCCTGGAGAGGGAGAACCCAAGCGGCAGGTTCAATGAGTTTATCTTGTCTGAAGATCCTGCAATTTGAAGCGCAACCCCTGAGCAAATGCCTTTCTTGATGAACAAAGTGGCAGGGGGTTCTGGCTAATTCCTTTTTTTTGAATAGTGGAAGGCTTTAGAAAAAGGTTTTGGACATGATAGGGAGGATCGCCCGCTTCCACCGCCTGACCTCATCCAGCTCGATGAGATCTCGCAGCGTTGGCAGCTGCAGCAGCGGGATCAGCCTGGCGGTCGTCTGCTGGCAAATCTGACGCAGCGCAAGCGGATTGGGGCCTCACAGGCTCAACGCAGTCAACTGCACCAAACCCCAGTTGGTTTGTCTTTCGCACGCAGCTTGAGAAAATGAGCGCTGCAAGTTCTGAACCCTTTATCGACAGGGAATTGGAATTTCGGTGTCTTGATTGGTTTACCCTGATGCTTTCCGGGCGCAACTACCTGGACCACCTTTTCACCAGCCAAACGGCCTGAACTCGTGGCACGGCTTGCTCGGAAACAGCCGCTGCGCAGCTGCACGGTGATGTGATCCTGGTGGCCTCAGAGACTCCGCGGACACAGCAACAAGCTCGGCATATCTCTGACCAACAGACCATCC